GAAGAAGTGGGCTGTAGCCCACGAAAGCTTATGCTCTAATAAATTTGTTAGTCTATAAGGTGCCACAAGTACTCTTGCTTTGAGTGAGTAAATGAATGAGCAGGGGGCCGGGAGTTCGGAACTTGCAAAATAGAGAGCTGACATGCTCCAAAAAGCACTCTCTTCCCCCCCCCCCCCGACACTCCCTGTCACAATCCACCCCACCCCCCCGTTTTGAAAAGCACATTGCAGCCACATGAATGCTGGGATAGCTACGTAATGCACCACTCCTAACACATCTGCAAATGGTGCAAGTGTGGCCACACCACTGCGCTAGCAGCTGTCAGTATGGACAGACTGCAGCGCTTTTCCCTACTCAGCTGTACAAAGACAGGTTTACCTCACAGCGCTGTACAGCTGCAAGTGTAGCCAAGGCCAAAGCTGAAAATGAAACCCAAGAGTCCTGATTCTAGTCCTGCTCTAACGAATGAACACCAAATCCACCTACAACCAGGGGGAATAGAATTCATGGCCCGATTGTCTCCTGCGCTAACCATTAGACCATTCTGCCCCTTGAATATTCCATTTGTCTTGCTCATTTTTCTCTATGTGACTCACAGCAATGGAATGCTTTGCCAAGGAAGCAGGAAAAAAATATATATATAAGCCCCGGTGGTGCTAATAGCTGACTCTTTGGCATTACCTGTTTGTTAAAACAACAGTCTTGATCTCCAGTTAAGTGGTTTTAATTAATGCCCTCAGCCTTACCCATGTGACCCCAATGCTCCTTTCATTCAGTTTCAACATGAAGCCCTGATGGGTTTTTATGCAGTCAGAATGGCCTCCTCACAACTACATAGCATGGATTCAGCAATATTAGAGCTAGTCTACACTGGCAATACTAAAGCGCTGCCACGGTAGTGCTTTAACGTGGCTCATGTGGTTGCGGCAGAGCTAAAACAACTACCTCCATGAGGGGCGTAGCTCCCAGAGCTAGTGCACTGTCTACACTGGCGCTTTACAGCACTGAAACTTGCTGCGCTCAGAGGGGTGTTTTTTCACCCACCTGAGCAAGAAAGTTGCAGCACTGTAAATTGCCAGTGTAGACAAGCCTTTAAACTGAGTGTTCGGATAAGTGAACTGGCAGCAGTTTGAGGCACCAGGAAGAATATGGTTTAGGGGAGTGAGGCTTCTCCACTTAGCAGCTGGATAATGAACAACAAAGATCTTTACTGTATACACAGTAACACAAAAGCCAATCTGGAAGCTGTCACTTTTTTCACAGATCAGAGGACAGAGGGGCCAAAAGGGAAAAAAGAGGCCAAAGACAGACAGGTCTGGAATAAGGGAAGACAGCAGCAATGCAAGAGATTTGGAAATCCTATCCCCAAGTGCAGAGATAGAGAGACTTGTGTCCCCCAAAAGCCCCTCAAGTAGCTCAGAATCTAAAAGATTGCCCTGAATTTGCAGAGAAAGGTTCCCCAGCACTGAGGGGTTTTTGGAGGGCATGAGTCTATCTCTGGGCTTGGGGATAAGATAGTCAAATCTCCAAGCTATTTTCGCTAAACTTCAAGCAAAGAAAAGTCTCTTCTACAGGGGAAAATAGAGATATTTGCCCAAGTGCATTTTTGTGGGGGAACTCCACCTCCTTCTACTTGTGGCTCTGAAGAGCAGGGTTTCAAGGGGGGGGGCAGAGAACAGTGTCTCTCCTGAGGTCAGGTTTTTGTTTCATTTTGTTTTTGAGAGGAGGGGCAAGAGTGGTGAATTCTTCCTAGGTAGCTTTTTGTAGGTTCAAGTTGGAAGAAGAAAGAAGTTACCCCAAATCTGTCCCTCTCCCCCTCAGCACTACCACTTTCTACATAGACAATAACCTGTCAAGTGTCTACTACAGTAATTCTCAAAACCCAGACTCCCACTAAACAACTGATAAAACCTACACTCATGCACATGAATGATCTAAGCATGCCATCATCCACATAGATCTGTCGAAGCATTTACACCTACTAGAAACATATCTGGTAGTCTAGTGATTAGGATTTGGCGCACTCACCGCCACGGTCAGGGTTCATTTCCTGGTCAGGGAAAGAAACCTGTTGTTGGTCCTGCTTTAAGCAGAGGGTTGGACTAGATGACTTCCTGAGGTCTCTTCCAACCTTAATCTCCTATGATCTCAACATATTAACATAAAAGGTCAACATCGATAAAATAAGAGTTATGATCTTTCAGGAAAAGTCACAAAACAAATAAAGGTTTATAATAAAACGGCAATTTAAGACATCTTAAATTAAATATACTTAAGCTGAATCATAAGTGGTTCAGGGGATTTCAAACTAGTTATAAAAAATTACAGAAACCTCTGCAGGACCTACTATGCCACAAAGAAACCACTAGATAGATACAATCACCTCTCATTCTACTACTGATTAAGGAAGCAAGTCTGTGGCCCAGCTTTGTCAAAAAAGTATACATAATGGCACAAGCTCTAAGGCTATGTCTAGACTAGCACTTTAGTCCATCAGGAGTGTGAAAAAACACACCTAACCGACCGACATAAGTTTCACCAACAAAAACACCAGTGTAGATAGCGCTATGTTGGCAGGAGACACTCTCCCCCACCATTCGTGGGGGGTGGCTTAATTAAGCGGACGGAAGAGCTGTCTCCTGTCGGCATAGAGCGGCTACATGCGAGACCTTACAGTGACTAGTCTGTGGTGTTGACATAGCCTAAATAGAAACCTTCCACTTACAGTCCCTGCAAACAAAATTCTACATGTACAGCAGAATAGGAGTCACAGACCAAAGGTAAGATGAACCCCACCCTCATTAGCATATAAAAAAACAACTGCACTTCTGGCTCCATCTCAGCTAAGGCAGCAACAATCCTACTGCAAAGCAGTGAAGGAGCAAAATCTAAATCTGAATAAGCACTTATGAATAGATTAACAACAGTCCCAGATCTCCCAATATTAACCTCCAACCAAAGGAGGAAACTTCTCCCAGAGTAACTGAAATGAACAGCGATCAGGACACTACATCAAAACCCAGAACACTAATTAATGCAGTGGTTCTCAACCAAGGTACATGTACCCCCGGTGGTACACAAAGATCTTCCAGGGGGTACATCAGCTCATCTAGATATTTGCCTAGTTTTACAACAGGCTACATAAAAAGCACTAGCAAATTTAGTACAAACTACAATTTCATACAGACAATGGCTTGTTTATGCTGCTCTGTATACTATATACTGTAATGTAAGAACAAATTTATAATCCAATTGATTCATTTTATAACTATACAGTAAAAATGAGAGTCAGCTATTTTTCAGTAACAGTGTGCTATAACACTTTTGCATTTTTATGTCTAATTTTGTAAGCAAGTAGTTTAAATGAGGTGAAACTTGGGGGTACACAAGATAAATCAGACTCCTAAAAGGGGTACAGTCGTCTGGAAAGGCAGAGAGCGCCACTGAATTAATGTATCTGGAAAAATTAGATCAAAATCCACACACTACAATGCAACGGCTCCCTGCACAGAACTACCACACTAATCTCCCTGCCACGAAATGGGAAGAGCTAAAGCAGGCTCCCACCAAATACGAATCCTGTCGATAAGCTAGCGGCGGACGCTGGGAGACACAAAGCACAGCGCGACCGGAGAGGGGAACAACCCTCCAACCAGCGAAGAGACTGAGCCAAAGGGAGCGCCTGGCCCGGATCCGAAGCACGGAGGATGAGAACCTGCCTCAAGTGACCGGCCACGAGCACAGACTGCCCCGAGCCCACGGGGAGAGGAGCAAGCAAAAGCCAACTGAGACAGAGCCTGTCCCCGAGCCAGGACGTGGGAGCATCCCAGCAAGTGTCTCCGGGTTCGCGGGGAAGGGTGTCTCTACCCGGGCTGGGAGCATAGCTCCGCGCTCGGGAGGGGGAACAGCCCCGGGCTCCCCTTCGCGCTCCCTTTTTAACACCTACCCCGCTGCCCGACGCCATGTTGAACGTGAAGTGAATAAGGAACCAGAAAGTGCCGTACTCCGGCAGCAAAAGTCGTAAAGTGAACCAGTCCTCCCGGGTACCATAGATCGGCGGCCGCGGTAGCTAGAGAGTAACGTCGTTCTCTGAGATGAGACGGAGAGTGGCGGCCGGAAGCGGATGTTCAGGGTTGTGTAGGCCAGGTGCCTGCGGTTGGAGTATGAGTAACTTTGTGCCTTTCTGGGAAGTCTCCTGAGACTCCATGGTTCCAGATAGTCTTCCCCGGTGGTGACCCGGAACAGCTCTGTCCGGTTGGCTCCGGGACGCTCTAGTTCTGCGGAAACGCACTATAGGTCCTGAGACTCTATGGCTGCAATGAGGCTGAATTCTCCAGGCAGGGTGTCAGTGCAGAAGAGTGTCCCTGGCCGCAGCGCTGCTCCTGCCTCCCCCGGGGGCTCCCGGTCAGCTTGTGGCCCTGCGGAGCTCGCTGGGGCCGGGGCGCTGAGGTGCCTGCCCCAGCCCCGCACGCGTGTCTTGCCCCCGCTCCCAGCTGCGTAGCCTCGGGTCTCCCCGCACCCAGTGCAAGGCCGGGGCGAGTTCTAGCCAGGAGCCTTCGGACAGCGGCCTGCGGGATCCAGCTACCTCCTGAGCCATGAACTGGCTGCGCCCCCTCGCTGCGGGGGGCTGCCGGGTGACCTTTGGGGGCCAGCACCTGACACCGTCCTGGGCCCGGCGAGCCTTTGCTGCCCATCCCCAAAACCAGGTGAGGCCCGCTCCGGGTGGCGGGCCCTGCTCCAGCCCCGAGGGTCCGTCCGCTTCGTCTTTCAGACGGGCTCTGAGTCCTGGGAGGAGATGGGGGAGGTCGGAGCCTAAGCCAGGCAGAGCCCATGAAGCTGTAGAGAAGCAGTGAGCTGCATGGGGCTGGCACCTGAATCCTAACCTAAGTTCTGTTTCCATCTTTATTGATGGCGAAAGCATCTCCTGGAGTGTTGTGTGTGAATGAAGTAATTAATGTGTCCAACTGACTTTCAAGGTGTTAAGTGCTATGTTAACACTAAGTGTTATTACCAGGGTGTTCCCTGAGTACAAACGGACAGTCAGCACGGACTAGAGGTTCCAGTGTGTGAGGATCTATTTCAGGGGTCTGCAACCTTTCAGAAGTTGTGTGCCGAGTCTTCATTTATTCACTCTAATTTAAGGTTTCGCATGCCAGTAATACATTTTAACGTTTTTAGAAGGTCTCTTTCTATAAGTCTATAATATATAACTAAACTATTGTTGTATGTCAAGTAAATAAGGTGTTAAAAATGTTTAAGAAGCTTCATTTAAAATTAAATTAAAATGCAGAACCCCCCGGAACAGAGGCCAGGACCCGGGCACTGTGATCTCCTCTGAAAATCAGGTTGGCACGCGTGCCATAGATTGCCTACCCCTGCTCTATCTTGATCCCGACTAAAGGACTGGGTTAGATGAAGGCAGCAGAACCCAGGCAAGTTGCCAGTGCAGCCCTCTGATGGGCAAAGTTTGGAGTCCACCTGTTGCAGGCTCCCTGCAGACTGTCCAGTAGTTCTGGCAGGGATTTTTCTGGCTGGATAGAAAGTGATGATAATTCAGATTTGGGAGCCTTCTAATTTATCTGAAAAGCCAAAACAAACAACTATATCTTCTACTCTGTAGTCAGTGGGTGTCAATGGCTCCCAGATTCCTATGCACGCTAATGGGCTGTTAAGAATCCATTGGCTGTCCTGCTAACATTTAAAATGTCAAATGCAAGAAAAACTAGGAAAAGCAAGGACTTGAATTACAGTGGAGCTGTTATTTGCAGTATTATTGTAGCCGTGTCGGTCCCAGGATATTAGAGAGACAAGGTGGGTGAGATAATTATATCTTTTATTGGACCAACTTCAGTTGTTGGAGGGTACAAGCATTCAAGTTACAGAGAGCTCTTCTTCAGGTCTGGGGAAGGAAATCAGATTGGGAACTGATAAGGGGGAAGACCTTGATTCTCAAAACCCCAAAGGTAACTGCCACCTCCTTATAGTGGAGCTGTTAGAAACTAAGGAAACCTCCTGCAGGCCTTGTAGGTCCACCAGTTGAATTGACATCAGACAGACACTCAGGGGTCAGTGTCCTACTCCATTTATCAAAGCCTTTTCTCTGTCCCCAGGTGGCAGAGGGTGTGGTAAAGCTCCAGCAGCCAAAGGCACAGCTGGGAACTGATGAGGGGAAAAAGAACTTCATTCTGAAACCCCCCAAGGTAACTCCCCACCTCCTTCAGGCAGCTGGGTCTCTCATGGGTTGCTTCCTCTCCTGGTTACCCCACCCCATCTCTACTGACATACGGCTTAGGTGTTCCCACCACTGAAACAAACTGCCCCTTTCCTGCTTGTTATCCTGCTCTTTATGGTAGGGTGCAGTTTTTCCTCAGCTCCAGCCTCTCAAGCATAGGCACCAACTCCGTGGGTGCTCCAGGGCTGGAGCACCCATGGGGAAAAATTGGTGGGTGCTTAGCTCCCACCAGGAGCTCCCCTTCCCGCCCTGCCCCCCGTCCCAGCTCACCTCCGCCTTCTCCCCTGGGTACACCGCATGCCCGCTTTTCCCCCATGGCTCCCAGCGCTTGTGCCGCGAAACAGCTGTTTTGCGCAGGAAGCGCTGGGAGGGAGGGGGAACGCGGCATGCTCGGGGAAGAGGCGAAGCCAGGGCCGGGATTTGCAGAAGGTGTCCAATAGGGGCAGGGAGGGGCAGAGTTGGGGTGGGGACTTTGGGGAAGGGGTTGGAATGGGGGTAGGGCGGGAGGGGGCAAAAGCACCGACTGGCATGGGGGAAAGTTGGCACCTATGCTCTCAAGCCTAAGGCTCTTCCTCCTTTTCCCATTCTGTTCCCTCTTCCCAATTGACTCTTATGCCTAAGGGCATATCTAAACGAGGAATTAGTGCATGACAAATGGGGGCATAAATCTACAATGCTCCAGCATGCCACATGCCAACTGCTCATGTGGACCCTGTGCACTAAAAGATCCCTAGTGTTTCAAACAGCAGTAGGTCCAATGGATCATCAACTTCCATTATTCTAGGCCTAGCTGACCCTTGTTATAGCGCCAAACTTTTGGGCTCAGAGCTTTGAGCAGCCGCAGGAACTGGGAACAGTTTAGATATTGGATGTTTTTACTGTTGCAGGGTGGTGGGTATAATTCTTCACTTTTAAGATTTCTCACGCACTTTCCGTTGGTTTGGGCTCTCAGGGCACCAGAGACTACAGCCCCAAGCAAATGGCCATCCGGGAGAGAGTCTTCAACACCATCATCAGCTGCTTCAAGCGCCATGGGGCTGAGGTCATTGACACCCCTGTGTTTGAGCTGAAGGTGAGGGTAGGGGCTGCGACGTGACATCTGGGAGGGGGAAGTTGTGCTGCTGGAGGCGCTGATCCCTGAGTCAGATGTGATCCATAGGTTTGTGGCTTTATGCCCCTTGAAATTATTGGGTGCATTTTAAGTGGCAGTAGCTACTTTAATTGTGACCTGAAGGGCAGATGCCCTAAGAACTCAGCTGTGAACAGCTCCTGTGGCAAGTGAGCTTCTGTGGTAAAGCTGGAGGGGATTAAATCATCTGACCGGGGTTAGATCCAACTGATCACCTCTAAAATCAGGCTCAAGGATTCTCCCTGCTTTCTTTCTAGAGGCTTCTTACTCCTGCTTTCTGCTTCTGGAGCGCGTCCTCTCTTGCCTGACACAGTTGTCTTGCTTTTCTGTAGGAAACTCTGATGGGGAAGTATGGGGAGGACTCAAAGCTCATCTATGACCTGAAAGACCAGGGGGGAGAGCTGCTGTCTCTTCGCTACGACCTGACTGTATCCTGCCAGAGTCCCAGACCTTGGGAAGCACCACCTCATCCAGGGGTTGCTGGTGTTTCTTAAGCAAGAGTGCATGGGGTGGAGGTGAGACATGCTGGAGTCTCTGTCACCTCCTCCTAGCTGGGGAGGAACATGCATGCTAATTCCACTTTGTATACATTCATCCCATTCCTCCTCAGTGTTTCCAAGCCTACCTGTAACTGCCTCCATGCCATTGCCCATGGACACCTCTGTCTTGACTCATCCTCATCCAAACTTCCATCCTCCCACCTAGACTACTGTAGCTCCGGCTCTAGGATCAGCTCAAGTCCCAGCCTTTCCGACTCCAGCACATGGAGAATTACTACTCACCACTAGACACTCAGAATGGTGCCTACATCACCCCATCCTCAAAACTAGCTCCCGGGTGACTTCAGGGTCTGTACATAGAAACCGTCCATGGGCTTGCTCCAGTGTATTCCCTGGACATTGAACCTTCTCTCTCTACTCCCTTCCCCATCTGCCTGTGCTCATCTGGTATAGCCTCCTTTCTGACTCTTCACACAACCTCCCTATTCTCAGTGAAAGAGCCGTTTCCTTTGTTACTGTTGCCTAATGGTCATCCATCCAGGACCTCCGTGCTTTACTGACTGCAACTCTGTTTAAAATTTCACCTGAAAGCATCTTTGCTCCCTTATCTCTGGCCTTTAATCTGTCACTGTATTATATATGTAATCCCAGTTTGTATCATAGCAGCAAAGGACCACAACATCTGTTCAAATGACCCACCAATGAGGCTGTTTGTTCTGGCTGTTAACATGGTGTGATTTCTAAGAAGATGCGCTCATAGGGACTGAGATTTTACTGTCCATTAGGACAGGTGGCCACAGTTTGCAGGTGACCTTCAGCATAGGCTTTGCTGTGGGGTTGTGTTGTACTGGCCCAGCAGCTGTCTGTAGAGTGATAATTGGGCTGAACGCTGGCCCTGGACTCTCCAGGCCACAGGAGAGTCTTCTTACGTTCCACCCTTAACCCTTTGTGCTCAGGTGCCCTTTGCTCGTTATTTGGCAATGAACAAAATCACCAACATTAAGCGCTACCACATTGCCAAAGTTTACAGACGGGATAATCCGGCCATGACGAGGGGCCGCTACAGGGAGTTCTACCAGTGTGTGAGTACCGGCAGCCTGAGTGCTCTCCGTGCCGCGGGGAGCTGTGTGTCTGGGCCCAGGATTCCCTGTGTGGGGTCTGGAGTTCTGGCTCCCCACAAAGCATGGGGAACAGGACAGGGAGGAAGAGGGCTCCATGTGTGTCTGGAGCCTTTTGTGCTG